CCATCTTCACCTTGGAGCAGCGCCGCGGGTTGGACGCGATCACCCTCGCGCTCCACAGCCTCCAGCTGCGGGGACAGTCTGTGAGCGGCCGCGGCGGGCGAGGCGCGCGCAGCGACGCCGACGGCTGCCGCCTCATGGGCGATGAGACCGCCAGTGAGGCCCCGAGTGCGGCGACCACGGGCGCCCTCGCCGGGCGCGGCGGCAAACGCCATCGCCGTCGCAGCAACAAGGCCGCCTACGGCAAAGCCCCCCCACCGAGCGGCGGCGCGGCCGCTGGGCTCGAGGACGCTGAGATGATGACGGACGTGGACTACCTCGCGGCGGGCTATGTGCACTGCATGGGTGCGTACTGGCTCCCGCCGCAGCGCCTGGGCTGGTGTCGTGAGTGCGCAGCGCTGGATGACTGGATGGTCATGATGGTGGAGCACGTGGACGAGCTCAACCGTGGCGAAATGCGCCGCTACACCGAAGCTTCAGCGCACAACCCGCAGTGCCCCAAGCTGCGGAAGGGTGATCAAGGCCAATGCAAGCTGTACACGTGCTCGCGCTGCGTGGCGGCAGCGCAGGGCATCCCCGAGCACGAGGCTGTGACGCGCGCGGCGCGCCAGAACAAGGGAGCTGGCTCCATTGACCACGCCGCCAAGCGCGTGGCGAAGTTCCGCGCGAGCTTCGACCACATCAAGGAGGGCATGGCCGTGCTCGTGGGTTACGCGCTCTCCAACGACGGCTTGCTAGCCCTGCGGAGGGCGACGGAAGGCGTCGGGGTGGGCATCGCTCCCGAGAGCGTGGGCGCCCCTCTGGCCACGGAGACGGTGGCGCAGGAGGTCGGTCGCCCGATGGCGGTGGAGGTGGTGCCGGGGCCGCCCCGCGCGCCACCTCCACCCCTCGAGGACGGACCTAGTGCCGCAGACCCTCCCCGCGGCGATGATAGCGACCCCCTGCTCGACGACAGCGTTGAGTGCCAGGAGCACCAGCTGGTCGACGCCAAGACTGTGGAGGAGGTCGCGGATGTCGAGCCCCTGCTGCGGCTCGGCCTCTCCAAGAAATCGCTGAAGCGTATGGCGCGGGCCTGCGGTGTCCTCAAATTCGAGGCCATGCGCGCCCACGTGCTGGGGGGCATGGGGCCCATCCTGGAGAAAAAGGAGGACATGATGAAGGGCGCGGCGGCGCAGGGCGGAGTTCAGAAGTGGCTCGACGCGCTGGATGCGGAGGCAGAGGCTGATGTGGTAGGGCTGAAGAAGGGCCTCCTGGAGGCCTCGGAGGTCGTGGACGCGCACCTGGGACGCAGGCGGGCGTGGAAGGAGGAGTGCCAGGGCAACGTCATGACGCAGGAGGCCTACCGACGGATGGGCGACTACACGGACCAGCTCTACCGTGGCAAGGGCTTTACGTTCAACATGTACTACAAGTGCTCGGCCAACGAGACCTGGGACAATCCCAAGGCATGCTGCTCGGTGATCCGTTCGGATCGCTGGACGCATCTTCTCACCTGCGCGCAGGAGGCGGCGGGGGAGTCCGGTCAGCGCTGGTGCTGCCATTGTGGCGCACGCTACGCGACCTCCTACGGCGTCTGCATCGAGATGATAGAGGAAGAGCTGAGCCCGCCCCGCGCGTACTACATGCACGCGGACTTCCTTCAGGAGGACATCCGCGACTTGAAGGCCCTGCTGCGTTGCGACAAGCTCAAGAGGGGGGGTAGCGGTGCTCAGCGCTGTGGACCTCCTGCAGCACCTGCCCAAGGTCGAGCCGCTGGCGGTGGGCACCGTCTTTAAGCGCTACGCTCCGCTGCAGCCGCAGTGGGAGGGCCACTACGTGCTAATGGACGGGCTCTCCTGGGACGACCTGCCTGAGTTCGAGTGGTCCGACTTGTGCTCGCAGGTTGCCTGGGGCTGAACGATCCAGCCTGGGCGGGCTACAGCAAGAACCAGCGGAAGAAGGCCAAGAGGGAGCGCTTGGCGGCCGCGTACGCGGAACTGGAGGCCTATGGGCGCCGCCACAACCTCCGGGAGGGCAGCCTCACGGGCGGCCGGGGTGGCACCGGGGTCGCCCCTCGTGCCCGTCCGCACCGCAAGTGCCCCCCCCGCTGGCTCGGCCCGCGGCAGCCAGGTCCCGCCACCGCCGCCTGCTGGAGCCCCGCAGGCGGCCATCATGGCCCCGCCGCCGCCGCCGCTGACGGCGCCCCCTGCGGCGCCGCCGCTGCCGGCTGGCCCGCCCCCGCAGCAGATCCCCAATGCTGCCGTCCTGAACGTGGCCCTCGGTGAGGATGTCGAGCGCCAGATCTTTGGGCCCCCAGGGCAGGCTGGCGGTAGTGGTGATCTCGGGCGCTGCCGTCGTAGGTCTTCGCAGCCATCGCGCAGGGGACAGGCCAGTCCGCTTGAGCGCTGAGACTCTGCAGGCCCCCAGCATCGTCTACTCCTGGGCCCTCGGGGGGGCTGCGTGAGTTCCTGTGGTAAGATTCCGAGCCTGTCACTCTCTATGATGCTGCGCCTGTGTGCTCGCTTACGATTCAGCTTTAGCAGCGCCGCCGTGCCAGCTGGCGCGGGGGCGCCCACTGTGGCGCCCCCCCCTCGCGCCGCGGGCCCTGTTGCTTAGGTCTTCGTTCTTCGCGCGGTCAACTGAGCGCCTAGCCATTTTGGCTTGCCATCCTGGCCTCTTCTCGCGCCTACTTACGCTCGTTGGCCTCGATGGCGGTACTGGGGTCGCCCCGTGCGCTGCTGTGCCGCCGCTGTCGCTTTACTCTGGGCCGTAGGGAGCAGCTGCCCTCGGATAAGCGCCCGCCGCTGCATGCGCGTCAGGCCCGCCATTTCACCCAGGAGAGGTGCTCGCTACATGCTGGAAATGAGGCAGCCACAAGGACGCTCATCCCAAGGCGGTTGAGCCGTGGTGATGTGGTGCGCGAGTCCGAGCAGTAGTAGTAGTAGTAGTAGTAGTAGTAGTAGTAGTA